AAAATGGAATTGGATTTCCCCTTTAAAGAGAAATCAAATTTACAAAATAAACACAGCCAGGAGAAGCAACTGGTGACTTTACCTAGGCATTCTCGGAGGAGGTTAAAAAAGTATCTGAACAACTGTGCTCTTCAGAATAGAAAAATTGTGTGCATGTGTGTATAAAATTTTAACTTTATCCTCAAGATTAATTTTGAAAATGTGTGGTTGAACTGAGAATCTAATAATTTATGTTCTTCAACCCTCCTTAGCCTAAGTTGTAGAATGCAGGGAAGATGAGAAATCTAGCTCAGCAGGGGCATGTGGTGTAATCCCTATCTGTGTTATGTAATCTAGAATGCTGGGTTTTCATAGGACAGTCTACATGGTTCTCAGCTGCTGTATTGATCTATTCTATCTTCTTCCTTTTGAACTATAGAATTGTAATAAATGATTTCCGTCTTGGCTAAACACCTGTTTTCATTAAAAATTAACTTTTTAGATGGCAAAACATTTTTAATGGGCATTAACGTGCATGGTGCATTTGCTGCTAGAACTAGTAATCTCTCGAATGTAATGGAATACATCTAAAGGTACCGTGTGTTAGATTACTGATGACACTTTCCTCCAAATATATTATTACTCAGCCCTGGGAACTTAGTTTTGATTTAGTTTTGATGATATCACTACCCAGCTCTGAATTAAATCACTCATGAAAGTTCTACAAGTAACTGTCAAAACAGAATTTCTAAGACTCCATTCAGTTGATCACTGTGTGCACATTTACCTCTGTCAGGATAATTCTACCTTTATTTTGCAAATGCACGCCCACTCAGAAAGCTTTGTTCTAAAATACTCTTTTGCAAGTTTTATATTTGTGTGCCTGAGAATGTGAATGATGTTACTAAACTACTTACATGCCCTGGATTCCTGAGGTGGTGTGATTTTGCCTTTTGAGATAGAGAAATAGGGAAACTTCCAAAGTGTTAAGGGTTACCAAAAAGATTATGAAGATGTGGATTCTTAAAATCTGTATCACCTCTGAAATATTTCGCTTACAGCAGGGACTGGAGTTATGCTCATTTGTCTTTCCCAAGGACATGACCAGCTGTTCTTGTATTAATGCATACCGGTGATTTTGACAACATGGGACAATGATTTTTGGTAATCCCAATGAACAAGACATTTTCCTAGGATGCTACTAAATCCATTTGGGGGGTTGATTTATTAAGAATTTAACTGAATCCTAAATGCTTGCCTGGTAAACTGAGGTGAAATTGAGCTTCAGTGCTGCTAAGCTGGTTTCCTTTCATCGATTATGTGTGAAATTTATGAAAGGATGGGAGGGAAGTGAAGTTAGTGTCTGAGTTTAGTGTTTGTATGCCCATCCCCAGGTTTCAGACGTAATTGGCAAACTCGAATAACAGAACCAAAGATCAATTGTTGCGGATTATTAAAAAAAATGTTAGTAATTTGCTGCTGAATTTGATTTTTTAAATTTTGAAATTCTAAGTTGAGAATAAATTCTCTTTTGGGACCAGAGCGCTTAGGTAATACAGTCGTGGGAAATTTCTCATGTTTTCCACCAATGCCCTTAATAGTGAACTTAAATATTTTGGGGGGAAGTAGGACATTTTTTTGAAACTTAAAATCGTTTAGCAGACTGTGCCTGAATTATTGTTTGTGATCACTTAAAAAGTAAGGTGGAACAGCATGTTTATTAGCCCTGATGACCCAGGTTTCTAATAAATTGTCTATTACAGTGAGTCCCTGTAAAACCAAGAACTTCTGCGTTTGATATGCAGAATGAGGTCAAGGACTAATGGAGACGCTTAAATGATCACAGTTGGTATTTCATGTCCAGACCTAAGTTTCTAAAACAATTGCTTTTCACCTCGTAATGTATGAACTTGTAGGCCATATTAGTGTCTGTCAAAAAGGCTTATCCCCCTACTGAGAAATAAATAAAGCTTTTCATGTCTGGTGGGTGGCCGCAGTGTCTTCTGTGGTTTTGCTGTTGGTGTGCAGGTGTTAACTGTGCTTGTGAGGACACTGCTTAATTCTCAGGGCTGTCCATTCCACATTTTCCTATTTCCCAATCCTACTGTGGAAATAGGATAACCTTGCATAGGTCTTTCTTCCATTCCTTAGTATTTGTTTTTCTGTTTAATAGTTTTTCTTTTGATAAAGCCTCACCCTTTGCAGTAGAAATACTTTCTCAAGTTATGGTATTATATATCTAGTTATGCTTTAGAGTGATCTGAAGGTTTTGCAACTTCCTAGGCTGTGATTCTTTAGCTCACCGAATACAAAAATGGGTTTACTTCACCCCTCATGGAAGTAGACCCAGGTGTGTTCTTGCCTTACTGAGAGGATGAAGTTTGCATTGTCTTTGCTGCAACTAAGCCTGCTTTCAAACTATCACTTTTGTTTGCAAGATCCATTTCGCTCTGCTGTAACAGATTCACCCAGACCCCCCTTTCTTAGGGTCTGGCTGGAAGCTTATCCCTCTGGATCCTTTTCCTATACTGAAGGTGTGACCCGAGTTTCTAGAGGAGATGAAAATAATGCCCTACCTTTCAGATCTCACCTAGGAGATCATTATGTTCTAGGGACTGAATGACCAAGCAGAGTTTTGATTTTCCCTGCATGAACTCCAATCCACTTTTTCTTTCCTATACTTTTTGGAATCAAAATAGTTGAAAGCAACATAGATCAGAAGAAGGTTTTTCTCTGAACACCTTTCTGGCCTACTACTTATAAAACCTTCAATGAGAACGTCACACGCCACATGACCACAGGTATTGTTATCTTCTCCCCTTGACTGGGAGTCTCCTTCATAGCTTAAAGGATCCTGTGATCTGTCCTCGTGCCCAAGATTGGGAAATTCCACCTCTCGCTGTTGAAAGGCCATTGGGCCAGGCAAATCCAAGCCTAAGGTACATTGCCCTTCTAAAGCATTCTTTTCCTCCTGAACAATTTAAGGATGTTTTTGCCTTTCTAACATTAATGAATTGAAGTAAGTAGCCATTTCTTTAGAAACAGGAAGAAAAAAGTTTCTCAAATTAATTAATTGTAAGCAGCTCATCCAGAGAGGAGAGATCACAGAACTCTGATTTTACATTCGACATTTTCCCTTCTTTCCCCCAGAACTAGAGTCCTTTACCTTGTAGGTCCCATCAGGGTTTGAGGATGCAATTTGGCGCGTCCACAAATGTAGCTGGCAAGTGAAAGACAACTTTATTTCACTTATTTTCCAAGTGACCTGGCAAGTGTTAGAGCCTCTGTTAGATTTTGACAATTAACGGGTTGAAAAGAAACACATGCATGGCTATCCAGTAATTTTGATAAATATCTTTTCGGTAGGACTGCTTTCCATTGTGCTTTAAACATTTAATTTTATGAATTTCAAGATATTGTGCTGAGCAGGGTCTGTGTCAGTATCTTTCATCCTTTTTTTTTTTAATCTCACTGCACACTTGAACCTATAGTTAAACTTCAGCAGTATGCTTAACTTGTGTTGATAAAAAAAAAAAAAGAGTGAAAAAAGAATATACTTTGCTTTGATCTTCTTTTGAAAGTAATTTAATGAATGATCTTTAAAAATTTTCATGCACACCTAAGATTCTCTCAAGGCACACCAGTGTGCCTCAGCACACGGGTTGAAAAGCACTGGTCTGTATACAGGATTCAGCAGATTGCAGAGGGCATCCACAGCCTCTGCCAGGTGAATGCCGCCTGCCCTAGAAAGAGGCAGCTGGGTGGGCGGAGGTGAGTTTTCACTGTGGGTTTGCTTTCAGCAGTGCAGTGCTGCTGAGACCTTCAGGCATTGGAACAGGCCGACGGGAGCTCAAATCCTGAGGGCTGTCCTGTGTTAGCTGTGTGATCCTGGGCATCCACTTTGAGAATCACTTCTCTCATCTGTACAATGAGAAGAATGACCCTATAGGGCAAAAGTACCTGACACTGTGCTATGAATGACGCAGTGTGCTGTGTTACTGCTGCTTGTACAATGCCTGCTGCCCCTCCTCCTAACAATGCTGCCAGTATAGCTACTCACCCCAGGTGTTATTCATAGGGGCAGATGGCATTGCACTATCTGTACAGAGTGGGCTGAGAAAATTGCCATAAAACTTATAAGGAACATTTGCTGTGCCACTCTGCAGGTACAGA